GTTCACTTCCTAATAAGTGTCGCTCAACATCTGCCACCTTGGTAAACATGTAAAGTTTATGCCAGTGAAAAGGCATCCTTTCCATGGGATGTGCAGTCCATGTGCTTAAAACTTTGCTTCAGTACCCAGTTTAATAGAGGCCAAAAGAAGTAGATGAGCCCTGATGAGCTCTCCAACCCTCATGGCCGGATCTTATGATGGCTAGGAAGTTTCCTCACCACCCTCACCACCCTGCTCCAGCTTCCAGAGGGAGAAATAGAAATGAACACATCTGACCCTCATTTCTTTGATTTTCACCCCTGGGTAGTTATGTGGTAGGATGTTTGCATGACTGGATGTCCACATCTGTCAGGGACAGGACAGAGGAGAAATGGTGGAGACTGCCTCCCCATCCTGACCCTTCCAGGAAGGAGGAAGAGGAAGACAATATAGATTTACAACAGGGGTTTGAGGGAGGTCACAGCTCAGAGGCAGATGAAGGGAAAAGTTCGGAAATCATGGAAGAGCCAGAGCAGCTGACTGACACGTTGTCATTAGAAAGCATTCCAGAACCACCATCTCTCAAAACCTGGTGGGCCTTAAAAGTAGGAGAGCAAAGAGTTCAAAGACAGAGGGCACTTAGCAGCACCCATAGAGGAGATGATGAGAATGATGAATGAGGAAGTGGGAGAGAAGGGGGTGGAGATTCACTCAGGACAACACCATTATCCAATAGGCTGGGTTCTATAGCCTCTCTCTGTGAAAAGTGAAATAAAAAAGGATTGTAAGAAGCTTTTCCTTGTCTTTATACTTTCCTGAGCAACCAGCCGGGAGCCTCTTACAGAATCCTGACAACATCTGCTTTTGGTGATGTGGCCTGCATGACAAAAGGATAAGGATCTTCATGGCCTAACAGATGAATGAACCAAGACTATCCATTTTTGCTGTTGATGCCTAAATTATTTTGGGTATCCAAGGCTGCAGCTCTGATAGCCCAATGGGTTGTCCATGTCTGCAATGGAATATTTTTTTTCCTGTTCTCTCCAGACCCCTCTGCAATGCTGTGCAACTGTAGCTTTTGGGGGCTGCTCATATAATTCAGTAGTGGGGAACCCCAAGCCCAAGGGCCAAATGTGGCCCTCTAGGCCCCTCTGTCTGGCCTTGGACTCTCCCTGGACCACGCTCCCTAGGTACTCCCCTTCTCATCAGACCTACTCTGTGCCCTCCTCAAATGCTGCTGTTGCTTGGCTGGAATGTGTCCTTGAATGGTGCTTATTCCTCTTGCTATGCTTGTATGGAGGACAGAGGTATGTGTATGTGGGGAGAAACCTCTTACTGGAATGCAGCCTACTGTAGAAGGATCAGAGTCAGGCCTGTCACACCACCCTCTTTATCTCTGGTCCTGCCCACCACTAGTCTGCAACTCCCTACAAGGTTGTTCACAAGGGAATGCGACTGACAAAAGCTCCCTCTTATATCCACATTCCCCTCTTCATCTTTAGTTTTCCCTGGGATAGCATCTGAATGGTGCGAAGCTGCACGTCCCACTGAAATACAGATATCTTGTTCCTAACCCACCCACGCATCTGGAACAGTATCGAGATCATTTTCTCATTTCACACTGAGTCCAGAAATGTTTTGGACACTTAATTCCAAAATAATATATGGAGCTAGGGAAATTAGTTTAAATCATGGAGGTTTGCAATTGCCAAGAGCAGAAGAGAAAGGTTTACTGTTCTAAAGGACATCGGTTATACGACAGTAATTAAACCCTGATGAGCTTTCAGCGTTTGCTCTCACTTGTTAATTCACTAATTCAAGCTTGTTTGGTGACAGTGTAAGGCTGTAGCTTGTTATTAAGTAACCACACCTTGCTTTGAAACTCATTAAAGGACTAATAATTCAGTTTGCCTTTAGAATGTATATATTTTCAGAGGGAATTTCTCAAGGAACACTTGAAATGAACATACTTTAACTAAAAACAAATGTAGCAGTTCAGGTTGGTATGTTTAAGCAGCAGTAATGAAAGCTGTGCTGAAAAATATATCCCACCCTGATTTCAGGTGTCCAGCAACTTCTCCCATGGGACTTCTGCAGATCAGCAAGTATAGGTAGGCAAGAAGGCTGCAGTCCCTGGAAATCTGCTGAATAGAAAGAAGACTCGCATACTGTATCTCCTCCAGCCTATTGCAGTGATATGCTCAACCTCACACCCACTGTAATTTTACAAGGAAGGTGATATACTTCTAAGCAGGTACATAGTTTGGAGATACACATGGAGCCAACATTTTCAATTGAAGTTAAATCATTTTTCCATCAACTTCCCTCCACTCTGCCCCCATAAAACTAACAAACCACACTCTAGGGCATGTCCCTCTTCTTACTAGATTTGTCAGTTTAAATACATCTATTTTGGGTGAGGGGGAGGACACTAAATATTATTTCCTGGCAGCTTCCTTAAAGTTGGTATTATAGTCAGCATTTGCATCAAGCCAATGGAAAAGGTAGTTAGAAGACTAACTGTTCCAGGGAAAGATGCATATTGTGAATAGTTTAAAAGCAAGTCTATTTAAGGTGAAAAATTGCATCATGCAGAACCCTCTTTAAATACCAGAGCTAACAAGCAATAATAATTTTTAAAAGCAGAGTGCCTGTTCAGTGCCTTATTCTCGCTATGGACAGTCACTTCATAGACTGTGAAAAACATAGGCACACACCTAAATGGATCAATAATGTTTCTCATACATCATGAGGTCACATGTTGACCCCATTTACACTCTGCGTATAGACTTCAGCAAAGCAGGCCAAATATTTTGCTTCCCAGAATGAAAGACAGGATAGTGACACACACAAGACCCGGCACACACATTCCTCATACAGAAGATGGCTAGGCTGGTAGTGAAATGTTACTTCAACAGTGGCAACAGGACAGCACCTTCCATTGCACCCAAAGTTTGCAGGCTACCTCAATGGGTGCAGGGCAGAAGCATGGCACACACACAGCTCTATTCTCCAATAGAGGGGGACAGCCAAGTAGAAATAGTTGGAGGAGGGCTGCCACCACTGCCACACCCCCACACACACACTTCAGCACCCTGAACTAAGTTTCTCACTATGCCTAATGCAGTGCTTGCCCTGTGACCCATAACTGGCTTTAAGTCAGCCACTATTAAAACAGTCATGATAATACAATCATATGCAGTGACTCCTGCATCGCCAGGAGCTGGACTTGATGGTCCTTGGGGTCCCTTCCAACTCTACAGTTCCATGAATCTATGAATGCCACAAGTGTTTTTCTAGAGTGGTTAATTCATGAAATGTAAGCCCATGGAATTTGTAACCCACCAAAGAGAAGATAGCCCACCAGCCATGTATCATAGCCTTCACAAGACTGCCTTGTTTGCACAGTCCCTGACAGATGGGTCACCAGTTCTGCAGACCCGATGCAGTATGTGAAAGAGCCACACGCCCAGACCGGGTGAAAGTCCTTCCAATACCAAGGAGAATGAATTTTGTAAAGGTTTTGGCTACTAGCATCACTCAGTACAGACTCTGTGCGTGGCAGTAACGTTTCCTGTTTGTCTGTTTCCAGATTTGCATTCTGAACATTTTTATGAACCGGATCTGAAGCACATATGTGACCCTTTGAGCAGATTGCAGCCCACAAAGCATTTGTGGTGGATCACCAGAGACTGGCTGAATCAGTCTCTTTGTTTTTTGTTTCCTTGCCTGCCGGAAACTGCAGATCAAGGAGGAGAGGATGTAAAGCACCTGGAAGACCAAAATGGGTGGTAGATTCCTTCAGCTTGGTAGGTCACATGCCATGCAGGGCTGCTTTGTTTAAAAAACTATTGCAAAAGGGAACTTGATCTAAGGAGTTAGATGTCTTTTGGCTGTATGAAAGTGAAAACAGTTGATCAAGACAATATATATAGAAAGAAATATTATTATTATCACTCCATGTGCTATATGGTATCGCCACCTGGTGTGCCTTGCACTTTTGATGTTACTGAATTCTGTTCTTGGTGTGGTACCCACTCTTTTGGCATGGATTGTTTCACAATTACTTTTCATGACTGTAAATTGAAAGCAACACCCAAAGGGGCAAATATTTTCCCAGAAGCATTTCTTTCCCGATGCTTGATTGCATGCCTCTGAAAGATTCAATTATTTCTTCACTAAATGCATTTCACCTGACATCAGACAACCTAAAGAAATGTGAAGTTGCAGCCATTATTCCTGTAGAAATTTCCATTCACAGAGGGCTATGTGCGCTTATTCTGCCCCTTGTGTTAACTTCAAACTAGAGATGACCTCTGAAAAAATGTTGCTCATTTTTGTTTGGGGATTAATCTGGTATCATTTCATTTTCCTCCTGAAATGCACGTTGGCCCAGTTCTTCAGGCTACACATATGATAGGGGTGGTTCACATTTTAAAGTGAAATATGTTTTCAGTCTTCCAAAGGTCTGTGTTTTCTGGCAATGCAACATTTCTGTGAAGATGCTCTTACAGAAACGTTCAAGCACGATGACTAAGATGCCAAAAAACCAAAATTGATTTAATGACAGCAATTGATTTAGTATTCAAACTGCTTGGGAAAACCAGTATTGATCATGTATAAGCTAGTAGGAACAAACCGTTATTGTGACAAATCATCATTAGTATTCTTATTTCCTAAAGTAATTTCTATTTAGGGATCACATTTTATTTCATCCATATACTTGGGAGATGAACTCAATATTTACAGCAAAATCTATTGTGTGCAGTTTAGCTGAGCTGAATGACTAGACTCTTAACAATATAATAGATTGCTGTGGAAGCAGGCCATTAATATTTGCAGTACCACAGACCTTTCTGTATTCCTGAACTTTAAACAAAAAAGAGGACAACTGATTAATTCTTATTATCACTTAAGCTCCCTTCCAGGGTCCTCTCTGTGCATTCAGAAATTGCAAAAAAAGGAAATTGACTATGCTTGCTTCCCCCCATATCCCATTATACTCTGTGGACCCCCCTCCAGCCAAGCTCATTGGGAGAGCATCTGCTTTGCATGCAAAAGGTTCCATGTTCGATCCCTGGCATCTACAGGTAGGGATGGGAGCATCCCCAGTCTGAAATGCTGGAGAGCCATGGCCAGTCAGTGTAGACCATACTGAACTTGATGTACAAATTGTCTGACTTAGTATAAGTCAGTTTCCTGTGTTTCTATCCCTGCTTCCCTGAAAACGCCCCAAGTATTTCCCTCCACCTCTTCAGTTTTCAGATCTCAGCTGGGTAAAAATCAATTAAACTTGTATTGATAGATACCACCCTCTATTTTACATGCATGTATGCACACGTGCGTGCACGCACACACACACACACACACACACACATTTGTAAGTCATTGTAGCTAAGTCATACTCGGATCAGAACCACCGAAATCAATGGATTCCAATGACTTGATTTCAGTGGGTCGATGAGATTTCAATAGGCCCTATCTGCAATATACATTTAAAGTAGTATCATGGCTCCCGCCAAAGAATCCTGGGAAATGAGAGCTGAGAGGAGACCTATATTCCTTTCACACAGCTACAATTCCCAGAATGGTTTCACCACCAAGCAGGAAACTCTTAAGAACTGTAGCTCTGTGAAGAGAAAAGGGATCCAAGTATAACACCATGTGGGAATTCTACAAATGTAGGATGCTGTCTTACATTAAGTCATACAATTGGTCCATCAAGCTGGCACTTCTGCAGTGTCTTGAACAGGAGTTTTTCCTAATCCAACCTGGAAATGCTTGGAACTGGAGCTGAACTGTTCTACAGCAAATAATGTGAACTATCACTGAGTTATGGCTTTCTCTCCTTGTTCTAAATTAAGATATGCCCAAGTTACAGCCATGCAATTGTGTACATTAGCGATTATGCAATCTCTTGGGAAGGGGATTCAGAAACTATCAATACTTGTTGATTTTCCTTAACAGGTGAATTTGTGAGTTGCTTCTTCATTCCAAAACAGACATTTTAATGTGTGCACTGAAACTCCTCTTTTAACGTTTTTTGCTGGCTCAGAGGACTCTCACTGGAAATGGAATCCAGTAAACCTGATTCTCCATCATCCAATAGTATTTTTTATTTAACAAATAGTATTTAATTGTAAGTGAATGTGAGTACAGCAAGGCAGTAATAAAATGAAAGCCAGGACTTATAGGTTTCAAGTTAATGACTATTTCACTTTTTCACAAGTGGTGAGACTTTTAAAAGTATATATTTGAGATATTAATCACCCCATAACTGTTTAAATTAGACGTGGAACATAATTACAAGAGCCATTTTTCACCAAATTCCAGAAGTACAGTAAAAAAAAAAAAAGGTCTGTTGAACAACAGCTTTCCTTCCACATTATATTCCGTGAAGTTTTACAGTCCTGGTTAGCCATGTAATATTTTCAGACACACCACAAAAGCCACCGTTTTCAATTACCATTGGTTTTAGACATATAAAGAAACACGTGGTGAAATAATTAATACCATTGTAATTCCAGAAGTTTCTTTGAACAGAGAAGCTCACTTATACTAAGTTAGACCACTGGTCCATCTAGATCACTGTTGCATGCACTAGCCTTCCCCAGCCTGGTATTCTCTGAGTGTTTTGAACTCCAACTCCCATCAATCCCAGACAGCATTATGAACAGTCAGAGATGATGCAAGCATAGTTGGTACTGACTATAGAGAAACAACTGTCTAGAGATTGGTGCCCGAGTTTTGATTTTGATCTTCCTCTTCCCTCCTCATCCATTTCCCCTTGTGTGTTGTGTGTGTGTGTTTTAGATTGTAAGCCTGCGGGTAGGGAGTGTCTTGTTTTGATTTTATGTAAGCTGCTCAGAGAGCCTTTTAGGCTGAAGAGTGGGGCACAAATGCTATAAATAAAATTAATAAAACCAAGTTCAGCATTTTGTGAAAATGCACAGGATATAATAGAAGTCAACAAGCTGTAGAAGATAGTCAGGGCCGAGGCTAGAATGTAATTAATAAACAGTTTTCTTCAGAAGAAAAAGCTTCTCTAGAACAATTATAGGATGAAAAAACTGTAAATAAATGGTGACAGAATGAGTATTTTCACAAAGTTACAACATAACGCTTGGGCTTCCAATATCCCAATTATAGGACAATGGTACACAGTTAGTTCTAGTTAGGATAATTAATAAAGAGCCTAGCATTGGAGAAAGTTACAAAGGAACATGCAGAAAGTTACAAAGGAATACATTAGGGTTACAGGCTTCCCTTTTCTCTTTTATTGAAGAAGAACAGGGTATTTTAATGCCACCTTCAACACAGAGGTGTCTGTGAAGGGGATATGTTCATTGAAAATGTATTGTATTGTAACTGTATTGTATTGTAATTTTTGAATAAATGGTTTTTTTTAAAGGGGGGGAGTTACAGGTTAAAATCATCCATAGCAACTGCTTGTGAGTGGAGGGGAAAGGTGGGCTACTGTTGGGTTTGTGATGGTCTACTGAACCATAATCACAAAGGTGTTGTGCTAAAAATGGCTTGGAGGGTCTTAGACCCCACTCCTTTTCATATTTCACAGCACTGATGAGATCCATGTAGGACATAGTTGAGTGGTATATTGAATGGTAATTTCACTGGCACCATGCTTTAAAATATCCGTTGACTGAGGGACAAAGCTGATGAGATGTCAGTCATTCAATTAACAGAAATGGCCTTTTCAGAGTAAACAGTAGGCATACGGGTATCTAGATCTGCAGTGGGGAATGATGTGTTAAAGTCCCCTATACACCACACCAGGGTCTTGATCCAGATCAGGGCACATGCGCTTACTAAAAAAGAAGAAGAAAGCAATTCCCCAATTGTTATTTGTGTAAATGGTGTCTTATTCATTTTGGTGCTCCATGTCTTTCCCTGATTTCTTAGTGTATCTCTTATAGGCAAATGAAAATAAAGGCAAAGATAGTACAGAAAGGCATCAAAATCCATCTCCGAGTTTGGTGGCTCTCCGAATATGCACTGGATAATAGATAAAGCTTTCTTGCACCTCAAATGATGGTAGCAGCAATGTATCAATAATTCATTTCAATATATCAGCATCAATTTTCAGTGTCCAAAACCAAGAAAATGGAGGGAAAGCATCAAAATGAGAAAAAACTCCCCAAACACACCAAAAATTCAAAGCCTCAAAACAGATACTGTGAAGGAAGAAAGTGCATTCTATGTGATATTTCCAATGTGTTGTGGTTATTTTGTTTTTTGTCTTCTTTGGGGCAAGAAGGCCTGATTTCATTATCTTGCTTCACTATCTTGTAGAAGCAGAACATTCAGGACCCTCCTTTCCAAACTACCCATGACCTTTTCAGCACATCTCCAACAGAGAACACTTTCCAGTTGAGAATTTGTAAGTTAGACTGCTCTAGCAACCACTAAATTGTTGGCTGGACTGACCTAAGCAAGGGGTGTTCCCAGTCTTGGGGTGTGATTTCTTCTAACCTCAAAAGAATAATAAACTTTCCAAAACACAGCTGTATGCAATATTCCCGCAAAGGAGGAACTGAAAGGGAGCATCTGTTGTGTCTTCTTCACCCAGGGTGACAAAACAAGCAAAGAATGTGGATTAGAAACAATTTATTCCAGTTTTTCTGAACTCTTAAAGTTAAAAAACAAATTCACCTTTTCCCTGCTGCAAAGCAACACACTCCTTGCCTGCCAGCAATTTGCTTAGTGAACTGTAAAAGTTGCTTATGACATGGACTGGCAGAATCTAACACAGTGGTTCCTAAACCATTTCCTCCCTACTTTAAAATTGCTGGTAGTCATGGCAAACACTTAAAGGTTTTTTCCTGCCTTTTAATGCACTGTGCTAGATGTTGTATGATTATTTTGTTGTTGCTGTTGCTTCCTTTATTTTTTTGTATTATATTATATTTTATTTTATTACAATTTGAGTGAAGCTAACAGACCACTGGTGGTCCATGGACCAGAGTTTGGAAACCTCTGTTCTAGCAGGTTACTTGTAATGCTTATTACAATGAATAATGATGGTTAATTGTACAAATCAGGCAATTTTGTTCACAGATATGAAGAGTAAATAAAAACAGAGAAAAGAATCCAAACCTGTAGTGGCATGAAGAAAACTGCTCAGTTAATGTGAGCTAGCTGGTGCTCAAGAAATCACCAACCACAAGGAAGGATTTCAGTGGTCTCAAGTCAGACATATCTTGTATAGTCATCTTAAGATCCACTCATTTCAGTGGAATTTGCTTCTAAGTTGCTACCATTAGCAGCACAGCCTAAGTGATATTAATCAGATATCCCTGAGAAATTTGATAACCAGAGGTAAATATGTTGTGTCTCCTACAAAAGATAGCATCTCCAACAGTAACTCAATAGAAGAATTAAACCATCAAAGTAATTTCCTGCACTGATCTGCGTTGATGGATGAAATTCTAGCCCTGCCTAATATCACTTGTTTACTTTTAGGATTTGGGGTGATATTTATTACATTCTCAGTTTTGCTCTTTTCCATTTATCAGTTTCCTCATGAAGAAATGAGATGCTAAAAATTATCCCCAAAGTTTTATCACTTGCCTTAGATCAAAAAGTGAGGCAAACAGCGCTGAGAAATTTAACACAGATTTCCTGATCTCATTCTATGGTTTCAAAAAAGAATCACACACAGCCCTTAAGAGGATAGCTTGCTATTTTGTTAAGCCTTGATGGTATGTACGCTACTGAATTAGACACAGGCAGCCTCATACTCACAAAGGAAATGGATGAGACTTTATTTGCTGAGAGAAAATAATTCAAGAATCCAGACTTAAAGAATCAAATTTCTGATTTTATTAACAACCTCCAAAACAGCAGAAAACAAATGTGTTCCAGTTGATAGAGTTGGCCTAGTAAGTAGAGCTTGATCACCAAGGTCTCATTAGTAGCTTCATCCAATAGCATACAAGACCTAAAGTGTTGGCTCATCACAACGGCTGCATACCAGCAATACACACCAACACACACCTGCTGGATCCTGCCTGTAACTCTGTTATTGTCTTTTCAACTATACTACCTGCTTCAAGGCTACCTGTTATATCA